CGAATCTAACTCCTTCATTTTATAAAGAAGGAAAGTGAGGTACAGAGACGAGATGGTGATTTAACCAAAGCCACACTGGTAGTGAGGAGTGGATGTTTGAAAGGGTTCAGCTTGGTTTGTATCTTTGCAGTATGACCATTGACACACGTATGTGAACTGGAACTTGAGGGCATCACTCTTTCCTTTGACTTCCTCAACACTGACCTCTCCTGGGTCTCCTCTTACCTGTCTGACCAATCCTCACCTTCCTTCGCTGGATTATCAGCCAATTCCTGCCCCCTTAGCCCGGGTGGCTCTTAGGACCTCTTCTTTGTCTTTCTCTCTCTCCTTCAGTGAGCTTATTCTCCAGTGGGTTCTAGTGTTATCAGTATGGAGATGATTCATGGGTCTATACCTCTAGCCTTTGCTTCTCTCCCGAGCTCTGGGTCTACAAGGCCTGCTGGACATCTCCTCCTGCACGTCTTGTAGGTATCTCAAACTCAATAAATCTAAAAATCTACCAACATAGATCAGCATCTTCTCTGCATTGGATGGTCTTAGAGAATTGAGAAGTCAAGTGACTTGTCCAGGGTCATACAGCCAGTCTATATCAAAAGTAGGACTTGAAAGTAGGTCTTTCTGCCTCTAAAGAGAAATCTCTAGGGGAGAGAGCACTAGCTAGGGGGATCAGAGAGTATTTAATGAAGAAGATGGCACTTGAGCAGAGTAAAGACAGACAAGGATTCTAAGATGTGGAACTAGGGAGGGAGCACCTTCTAGGCATGGGAGATAACTTCTGTAAATTCATAGGGAAGATGAATGGTCAAGTTCAGGGAAATAACAGTAGTCTAGTTTGGTTGGAATATTGACTTTGGTAAGGAGGGCAACCGAGTGGTGCAGTGGATATAGCACTAGGCCAGGAGTCAGGAAGACTCATCTTCTTGAGTTCAAATCTGGCCTCAGACACTTCTTAGCTGTGTGACCCTGGGCAAGTCCCTTAACCCTGTTTTCCTCAGTCTCTTCATCTGTCAAATGAGCTGGAGAAGGAAATGGCAAACTATTTCACTATCTCTGCCAAGAAAATCGCAAATGGAGTTAGTCACAAAGAGTCAGACATGACTGAAAGGACTAAACAACAACAATATTGCTAGAGGAAATTCCCCCAGCCATGAGTTCCCTATACCCATGAAATCACAGGTCCAGCCCCCATCCCTATCCAATGCTTATTTTTGAACTTAGGATCACAGATTTAGTTCTGGAAGGGATGGTACCCCCTCATTTTATAGATGAGGAAACTGAAAGAAGTGAAATTACTTACCCAAGGCCATGCAGCTAATAAGTGGCAGAGCTTAGATTTGAACCTAGGTCCTTGGACCCCAAATCCATAACTTTCCACAGTATCATGCTGCCCATGTTGTTTCTCCCTTCCCCGCCCCTAAGGTACAGATTCCCTGACAACAAGGACAGTTTCATTTTTGTCTTTTTATTTTTCCAAACTTAGCCCAGTGCCTGGCCCGTATCAAGTGCCTAATAAATGTTCATTGAATTGAATTGACTCATCCCTTCCAGCCCCCTCATTTTATGACGAGGAAATTGAGACTCAGAGAGGGAGACTATTTAACGCCACAAAATGAGTTAGTGGCATGGCCAGAAATAGAATTCAGGTCTCCTTCCAGTTCACTAAGGTTGCCTCTCCTGAATTGATGATGTCATTTTGGTCCTCTTTGAGTATGAAGGAACCTCCCAAAGAACTCGGAAAGAACCTATCTGACCAGAGGAATCCACACAGGCCCTGGTTCCCATTCTAGTGTGACATCCTGCTACTGCAGAAACTTTAGCAGATGGAAATAAGCCTGGCTCATTGTGACCAGGCAGCTCCATAGACCTGGCACAATGCTCTGTGGTATCATAATCTTCTTCCACATTGGAAAAATGGACATCAGGACTCACTGGCATTGCTGGAGAAAGTCCTCTTTGCCAAAGTGGCCTCTTGCCTAATTCTGGCTGTTATGGGCATCAGTCATCCAGATTTTTTGTATCTCTAAGCTTAGCAGAGTGCCTGGCACATAGTAGGTGCTTGTAATGTGCTTAGAGTCTGACTGATTGACTGATAGACTCCCCAGGGCCTTTTTCTAGGATCAGAGTATAGGAGTAGAGGGAAGGGTGAATATCCCACCAGGAAAAACCGATCTCACCCTCCAAGTCTAGCTCTCCCATGATGATCCCAAGGAGTGCTGCTGGACTTGGATTCAGGGCACCTAGGTTGGAAACCTGGCTTTGATAACTCATGGTCATTGGATCTTGGATAGAACTGACATTGGAAATCAACAAGTACAACTCCCTCATTTCACAGATGAGGATACAGCTCCAGAGAAGTTAAATGACACGAGTAGAATCACAAAGCTAATACAGGAGAGGGGACTAGAACCCAGGTCTTCAGCTTTTTCTAGCACAGGTCTGACCATATTTGCTCCCTTTCCCCCTCCAACTCGGTAAATCCCAGTTGATCCGATTACTTCTGAAATTAAATGCAAATTTCTTTGTTTGGTATTCTAGATCGGGGGTGGGGAACCTGAGGCCTCGAGGCCGTATGTGGCCCTCTAGGTCCTCAAGTGCGGCCCTTTGACCGAATCCAAACTTCACAGAACAAATCCCCTTAATAAAAGGATTTGTTCTGTAAAACTTGGACTCAGTCAAAAGGCCTCACCCAAGGACCTAGAAGGCCACACATGGCCTCAAGGCCCCAGGCTCCCCAGTCCAGTAGATCTTCACAATCTGGCCCCACCCTACCTTTCTTGCATTCATACACATCACTCTCCTCCCTGAGCATTGAGATCTGGCCAAGTCGATATCTTGCTGTTCCCCACACACAACTTTCCATCTCTGCGTCTGTGTCTTCACCCAGACCCCATGCTGGAAATGGACTCCTTCCCCATCTCTGCCTTTAAGACTCCTTACTTTCCATCAAAGCTCCACACAGAAGCTACCTCCTAAATGAGGCTTTCTCTATCACCCCAGCAGCTGGTGAGTCCCACCCACCAAAATTATCTCATATTTATTTCGTAGATTCTTTCATGTGTCCATGTTGTTTTCCCTATAGAAGCTAAGATCTTTCAGTTCAGAGACTATTTCATTCATGTAGCTGTATCACCTTTTATTGGCACTTAATAAATGTCTGATGATTAATTGACTGATCCATAGCCAAACACTTTTTAAGCACCTATTTTGGATCGTAAGCAAGTTGTTTTGACACTCAGATCCCCAATTTCCTCATCTGTAAAACGGGAATGAATTTGTTCTATCTACTTCATAAGCTTGTCACAAAAAAAAGTACTTTGTAAACTATGGAGTACTATGGATGAATGAATGAAAAACATTTATTAAACAGTTGCTTTGTGCCAAGCTTTGTGCTAAGCCCTGGAATACAAAGAGAAAAGCAAGATTGTTCTTGCCCTCTGGGAGCTTGCATTTAGGAAATAAACCCTAAACCATCATAAGCACTAGAACCCTGGTTCTAGATCCTATCCCTGGAGTTCTTGGGCTGAGCTGAGGAGCCGACTTCCCCAGCAAGTTTCCCTGGCCCTTAGTGGTAGGATGTGTGGACCCTAAGCAAGAACACTGTACCCAGGTATTTTAGACCCAGGACAGATAATGATGATGACGGCATTGCTGTAGCCTCACTCCTCTGCTGAGCTCCAAACACTTTGTAAACATGAGCTCATTGGTGCTTACAAAACCCCTGGGAGAATCGAGGGTCATTAACACAACGTCAGAGACAAAGCCAGAGGCACAGATAGGGATGGGATATGCTCAAATTCCCACTGCAGTGTGGACTAGAACCCAGGTATCCAGCCTCCCAGCACAGCGCAATATTAATTAGGTCAAGCTGCCTCCCTTGCGTATCCCAGCAGGCTCAGGATTGAGGGAGAAACACTTATCTCCAGAGAGGGACAGATGGGGACCTATCAGGGAGGGGGAAATGCTTTACCTGCCCCAAAGGGGAGCATTTCTATAAAGGGACCAGATGCTGTCTGCTTTGGCATAGCAGGAACAAGAAAGCTAGCCCAAGAAAAATGGGAACCAGCTTTTATCCCCTGGAATTCTCTGGCTCCTGCCTGGTTTCCAAGATGCTACAAAGATCCCTTTAATTATAGAACATTAGCATCAGAAGAGATTTTCAGGGTTATATAGTGTCCCGTTTGTATCCCCTGAGTTTTACAAGGGAGGAAACTGAGGCCCAAAGTGGTTAAGTGACTTGCCCAAGGTCACAAAGCCAGCTCAGGGAAGAATCTGAGTAGAATCCTGACCCCTATTCTCTTCCAGGCTCTTTCCATTATCTTGCTTTTGTATTTCTATCCCAGGGTGTAGCATGATGCTTGGTACTTTGTAAGTCCATTAATTAGCCAATTAATCACCAAGCATTTATTAAGTACTGATTATGGGCCTGGCATTCCAGATACAACAGCATAAATGAAATAGACTCTGAACAGGAAGAGCTTACATTCTATAAGGAAGCCAACATGGCCATATAAGTGGTTACTAAATGCCTTTCCCGGTGCACCTTGATCAGTAGACCCTATCTAGTGCCTTTCAGTTCCCAAACACCTGAGCACTTGGGAAGCACCCAACTTCCCTCGAATCCTACGGCTCACCCCTCAGCTGGGGGCTGGGATCAAATCCGCATCCCAACTCAGAAACCCACAGGTATGGGAAGGCTGAAGCCACTGGGACTGGTGGCTTTCAAGGGTTAAGAGGGCGCTGTCAGATCTTGCCCTTTCAAGTTTAGGACTGAGAGGCCGGTTCTGATTGGCCGAGGTTTAAACCCAAGCTTGGAAAGGGAGTGGCAGGGAGCCAAGTAAATATAGTAGCTGAGTCCAAGCTCCGGAGTCCAGGATCCTGCAGGGATCTCTCTCTAATCTCTCCAGAAGGGCTTTTCTTCCTAGCCTGGATGTGGAGGAGGCTGGACCACTGTGCCTCCTGCCCCTGGATCCAGGATGCCAAGTTCCTGGAGGAAAGCTTACCTGGGACACTGTCCGATTGGGTTCTCTTGGCTCCTTCCTTTCTCAGCAGCTGGGGCCCTTACAGCTCTCTGTCTGCAGGCTGCTGCATGTCTCCAACCCAGGAAACAGCCCTCCCTTCAGGCAAAAGAAAAAGAAAAAAAAAAAGAATCTCAGTCCTTTCCTTTCCCAGCTTCTTTCTAAAGCTCCTGGTTTGCTGTCATCCTGTTTCCATATGCATATCCTCCCTCCAGCTGCTTACTCACCGGCACTAGCTTTCTGCCAGCTGCTGTGGAGGAGGGCAGGAAGGGGATTGGCGCCCCCTCTCTCCCTGGCACATGCCGGGGTAGCTACCTTGGGGGCTGAATACTCTGACAGCAGGTAGAGGGCAGAAATTTTGCTCACTGCTAGACCTAATAAAGTTCTGAGCTCTTACTCTCAGGTGAGAACAATGGCTCCCTAGCTGGGGGATATAGTAAGTGAGAGATGTTCCTTGGGACCCCAGTGATTGCATGATGCTAGTGTGATTGGTGAGAGGATAAGATTAGGTGCCGACCAACACTCAGAGTCAAGATTCCAGGTGAGAAAATGTGTGTGTGTGTTTTTTCCAGGTGCCTTAGACTGAACATGTCCAGTGAAAGTACCTAGTGCACTGTTTACCCCTGTGAGGAGCATACCATGGGGCATCCCACATTAATGCTCTCAGCTGGAAAAATGCTGTCCTGAGCTGCTATAAACTTGAGAACAGTTCAATAGCCCTTTAGACCCAGAATGAGGCTGGGCCCTGGGAAGGCAGGTGGTTTGGGGTTTTTGTTTTGTGTTTTTTTCTCTATAATACTGACCAAGTCTAGGGCAGCACAGTGAAAAGGGCAGGCTTTGGAGGGAGAAGTTGTTATTGTTGTTTAGTCGTGACCCCATTTGAGGTTTTCTTGGCAAAGATGCTGGTGTGATTTGTCATTTATTTCTTGTTCATTTTACAGTTGAGGAAACTGAGGCAAACAGGGTTAAGTGAATTGCCCAGGGTCACACAGTTAGTTTCTGAGGCTGAATTTGAACTCAGGTCATCCTGACTCCAGGCCTGGTACTCTATCCACTGTGCCACTTAGCTGTCCTGGAGTGAGATGGTCCAGGTTCAAATCCTGCCTACTTGTGCAGTTTTAGCCAAGCCTCAGCTTCCAATGAATCTCAGTTTCCTCCTCTGTAAAATGAGGAAGTTGATCTAGATGACCACTAAGGTCCCCTAAGAGAGGTAGCATGGAGTATCTGATAGGGCACTGAAATTAATATTCAGATAGACCTGGGTTCAAATCCCATCTCAGACACTTAATAGCTGTGTGACCCTGTAGGCAAGTCATTTAACTTCTTGATGCCCTGTAAAATGAGGAGGTTGGATTCAAGGGCCCCTAAGGTCCCCTCCAGCTCTAAATCTAACTCTGTCACCCTATTATCCTTCCAGCTTTAAATCCCTGACCCTGTAATCTTGGTAGAAGCCATCCACCCAGAGCCATACTGGCCTCTTACATTGTCTTCCACTGTTATTCCCAAAGACCTGTGATATCCCAGGGTGTATTGGGATAGAACCCTCATGGAGGACCCCATTATTTCACCTGAGCAACCTGCTGCCCTTGGCAATTCCCCACACCTGCCTAGACCAGGCCAAGATAGTCTAGCCCCTTCTAGACAAATGCTTCTCATGATATTAGTTGGCATTTATATAGCACTTTAAAGTTTTGCAAAGATATATATAGATATAGATTGATAGATATGAATCTCTCTCTTTCTCTCCCTCTCCCTTCTCTCCTCTCTCTCTCTCTCCCTTCTCTCCTCTCTCTCCCTATGTGTGTGTATCCACACCCCACTCCCCACCCCCATCTTCCAGAAATGGGTGCTCTCTTCTCACACCCCTGGTTGTTGTGAGGGAATATTTATATACCCTCACATGTATATACCCCATGAGGTATCATCTACCCATTTTGCAGATAAAGAGACTGGAGCTCAGAGCGGCTGACTTGCCCACGGCCATACAGCAAGTATGCAACTGAGGCAGTTTTCAAATCTGAGTCTTCCTGACTCTAAGCCCAGCACCCTATACCCAATACCACACTGCCTCTCTCCACAGAATCCGGTTCATAGGAGAAACAGTCCATCGGAAAAGGAGATGAAACCTGAGCTGGTTGCCAGATCGGGTGAAGACTGTCCTGCTTTTCCCAGAATTAGAATTAATGAAATCCACACACCCCGCCCCCTCCCCTTCTCCTGGCAGCTTTCAAAGGGACAGAAAGAGAAAGTCACCATACCTGCTTGTTCTCTTCTGACCAGAGACACCTCAGGGCCACACAGCACGTCCGGAACCACCGGCCCAGAAAAGCCCCACTGGTTATTGCATCCTCTTAGTACCCAAGGGGGAAGGAGGGCGGGAAGAAGGGGAGAGCTGAGATAATCGCTCCAAGTTTCCCAAGCGAAAAAATCAAATCGAATTAAGAATAAAAAACGGAGGCACATAACCTAGGCGTGAGTCAGTCCCAGTTCCCTTGCTTAGTCACCTGGATTGCACGTTAGGGATGGGAAAGAGAACGCCCTGCCCCCCACCTCCCCCCAGCCTCCCTCCTTCTCCTTCCCGCTTTTGACTTAAAAAAGGGACAGCGGCTGAAGAGCTAAGGCTTCACAAAGCCCTCGTCTCAGACCCCCAAAGCTCTCCAGCCGACCAAGGCTGCCGCCTGCTCGAGTCCCCATCGCGGCTCTCCCCATGCTTCCCCAGAGCACCCAGGCACCGTTGGCTCTCTCAGTTAAATCATCGGGCTCGTTTAGGGGGCAACGAGGCTCTCCAACGTTGCTTGGCAATTTCGATATCGTCGGGAGTTGCCATGGGGAGAATGGTGATGTCATTGACACAAAAAACCCCACTGAATTTACAAATATGCCGGGGCTGGAGCTATTTATAAAGAGCCCGTGTGTTTAATTAATTGATTTATTTTAAACCCCTCTCCCTTTCTTTATTGGGGGAGGGAAGGGAGGGCTCCCTTGCCCGTAGACTCCACACCCCACTCCCCACCCCCACTGCCAGCCTCCAGAAATGGGCGCTCGTGTCTTACACACCTGGCTCTTTGGCGCTGCCCGGTTTAGACTTCGCTGGATGCAATCCGGAGAGCTTGGCTTGAACTCCTCTCACTGGTTTATTGTGGGTTTTCCCCACGAAGTGGCAAGAGGTGGAGCTCCAGGTAGGCTGGGAATCAGGTAGTCTGGGGTTCTATCCTCAGCTCTATCAAGGATGAGAAACTGGTCACTCCGCCCCTCTGTTTCTGAATTCATGGGTCAGGACACGTGTGATAAAGTGCCCTGAGACCCTTAATTGGAAAGGGAGTAACCTCTGGGCCTCAGTTTCCTCATCTGTAAAATGTATTAAAAAAAAATCTGTAAAATATTTCCTCATCATAAAAAAGGAGATAACACTAAGATCCTTTCTAGCTCTGTGACCCGAAATGTACATAGTCTGTATTTTAGAAGCCAACCTGTTTATCATACGATTGCCAGGAGGACGTTCAGAAACCACCATTTTATAGATGAGAAAACTGAAACCCAGGGAGATTAAGTGACATGCTCAAAGTCAGACAACATCAGAGGCAGGATTTGAATCTAGATCTTCTCCCTCTGGAGTCAGTGATCATTCCATTATGCCACAGTGCCTTCCTCTAATGACACCTTCCTTCAACATCATCCCACTCCCTAACTATAGGATATCCCAAGATTCTAGCTTTGGTTCTTGCTCTCTCTCTCTCTCTCTCTCTCTCTCTCTCTCTCTCTCTCTCTTTCTGTCTGTCTCTCTCCCTCCCTCTCTTAAAACAAAACAAAACCAACACATCATTTCAAATGGCATTACAAGAGAAAGAGTATTAACTTTGGAGCCTGAGGACCTCGGTTCAAATGTTACCCCTGGCACCTGTGACTGTGTGACCTCCAGCAAGTCACTTAATCTCCCTGGCCTCAGTTTCCTGAACTGTAAAAAGAGGGAGTTGTACTGGACGGCCATTGAAGTCTCTTCTAGCTCTACATCCACGAGCCTATGAAAATTAACCTATAATCTCCCCCCCCAACCCTTAAATCTTCTCCTTGAGATTTCCTAGCTCTGTGGAGAATCCCACTAACCCCCCAGGATTTTGACTTCAGTGGCATCCTTGATTTTTTCTTCTTCCTCGCCTTCATATCCAATCAGTTATTGAGTTTGGTGGATTCTGCCTCTATGACATTTCCCGTGCCCCTCCCCTCACATGGCCCCTACCCTAGAGTTCAAGCTTTGATTGTCTCTCACTTAAGCTTCTCTACTAACTTCCCAACTAGTCTCTCCCAGCTTCTTGCCTCTCTACCTTCTCCATGCTGTCTTCAACACAAGGGCCAAAATCATCTTCCTAAAGCTCAGGTCTGACTGGGTAATTCCACTGCTGAGAAGCCTTCAGTGACTCCCCATTATTTCCAAGATAAAACAGAGACTCCTCAGCCCGGCATTTAAGGTTTTCTGCTATCTGGCCTCACTCCATTTCTCTTCATACACTCTGCATGCCATCCAAGCTAAACCAATGACTATTCCCAGAACTAGATATCCCATCTCTCAATTCCAAACGTTTGCTCAGGAGTGCAACCTTCCATCTCTCAGAATCCTTATTTTTCTTTGAAACAACTCAGGAGTCTCCTCTTTCATAAAGCCTTTCTGGATCTCCACGTTGTTAGTTGGTTTTTCCCTTGCTTCTCAAATTATCTTGCTTTTTCTCTTCTGCCTGTGTAGAATTCAAACAGAATACCAGTAGAATGAATACAAGCTCCATGAGGTGAGGGACTGTCTGTCTTTTGTCTTTGTTTCTGAGCAGCATGCTTTGCACATAGTAGGTGCTTCATAAGTGTGTTCTTTGCTGTGGGCTTCAAGAATTTCCTTTATTTTGGTAAATCTGCACCTCCAGTCTCTGTCTCTCATTCCGGAGGCAGTGACTCCACATTTCCTGCCTGGTGGACTTTTCCATTTGGATGTTTCGTCAACTGAGAAGGCAGTGTATTTAAAATAGAACTCATCTTCCCCACCAAAGCCAGCTCCCTTTCCCAACCTCCCCATTTCCATTATTGGCCCTTTTATTCTCTTCCTAGTTTTCAAAGCTTGAAGACTCAAAGCCATCTTTGACTCCTTTTCATTTACACCTTATATCCAAGCAATCAACAACTCTGTTTGATTCTTTCTTCAAATTGTCTCTTGAATTTATTTTTCTTCATTTCTGCTGCGTTCTCATCACACACATGGTCTATCCTGACTGCCTCCCAGCACTCACCATAGGCATTCCTTGTTCCAGTCTCTCCTCCAATCTTATGAACTCACTCCCAGGAGGAATCTCCCTAAAATATCATTTTTATGATTTTACTCCCCCACTTAAGATTCCACAATATTTCCCTATTGCATATTGCACTGAATCAAAATCCTTCTACCTAGTTTTAAAGATCCTTTATGACATAAGGGGTTCCCCTTTTCCATTTTCCTCACTGGCCCACCCTTTCCTTCCCAGCCCCAGACTGACTCTCCCAAAGTTTGATATCTAGGTCCCCCCTCTTTCTGTTCTGTCTTCTCCAACCATCATATTCCTACATCCATTGCGGCCCACCCCCCTCTACTCTGACTCCTGGGATTAGGAGAGATGAGAAGTCAGAGACTTCAGGTGCTCAGGCTGAGCTCTCTAGGAAATAGGTTTCTACCACCTCGGGGCAAAACTGCCCTTCCTTGGCAGCTTGCTTTTTGCACCATGCCCAGCACGTGGCTCCCTGATTCCTTTATCATATCCAGACACAAATAACACTGGAAAATACATCCATACATATATATACACACACATACACATGTATATGTATGTATGCATGTATTTCATTAGTTGTTCCAGACAGCTGAATTTAATATTTCTTTCATAGCCCAAGGCACTTTTTCCAAAGCTAGGGACAGGGAGGATGTTGCTAACGTTTACTGACTGGTCAGTTGACAGGGCCCAATCCACCACTACTTGGTTCTGCCCTTCCCTCTGGAGACAAAATATTTTTCTCCATGGTGGAGGCAGGGGATGGAAGGAAGTAGACATTTTGGTTATAGTTGAAATAAATCTCTTTTGATCTTACCCAGTGAAATTAATTCAAATCTTCATAAATAATCAACAAGCATTTATTAAGTACCTACTGTGTGCCAGACACCATTCTAGACCTTGAGGATGCAAATACAATAAATTGAACAGTACTCACAAGAAGCTCACATTAACAAGATATACAAGAAGATATAATGGAGGGAATAAGGACATATGTAAATATATATAGAATAAATACAAAGATAATAAATCACAAAGAAATACTAGATCCCCAAAGCCTTTATATAAATACTACTGAGTTTTTTGCCCTGGTCCATTGATGTAATAATAATAATAATAACTAGAATTTATATAGCACTTTAAGACTTGCAAAACCTTTTACAAATATCGTCTCTTTGATGTGATGTGTTGTCTTTGAAATCTTAGATGAATAAGTTTACTATACTAACCAATGTGAGGCCAGTGGATCACAGTAGAAAAAGTCCTGGATTTGATGTCAGGGGACTTGGGTTCAAATCCTTGCCTTGCCACTTATTAGCAATATGAGCAAAGTCAGGAATGTAACCCAAGTCTTCTGACTGCAAATCTATGGTCATGGGGATCTTTTTTTTTTAAAAAAATAAATGTTTATTGATATCTTTTTTTTACATCGCATAATTTCCTCCTCTCTCTCCTCTCCATTCCAAAGAGCCATTCTTTGTAACAAATAATTTTTCTTAAGAAAAAGAAGAAAAAAATTAGCAAAAATGAGCAATACAAAGACAAACATCTGACAGCGTATGCAATGATCCATACCCAGGGACCTCCACCTCTGCTAAGGGGAGGTGGCTTTTTACATCTCTTCTTTGGAGCCATGCTTGTTCTTTGTAATTTTGACCATTCATTTTCAATAGGCTCTTTTTTTTACTGTCCCCCAAGTATTGGCATTTGCCACAAAGCATATGTGGTACATGTGCTTTGTAGCAAAGAAAGGACACCCAGGTCTCTGATGCATGCTACCCTTTGACCCAGTAATAGCACTTCTAGGGCTGTATCCCAAAGAGATCATACAAATGGGAAAAGGACCCACATGTACAAAAACATTTATAGTAGCTCTTTTTGTAGTGGCCAAGAATTGGAAATTGAGGAGATGCCCATCAATTGGGGAATGACTGAACAAGTTGTGATATATGAATGTAATGAAATATTATTGTGCTGTAAGAAATGATGAATAGGGTGACTTCAGAAAAACCTGAAAAGACTTATATGATCTGATGCTGAGTGAAGTGAGCAGAGCTAGGAGAACACTGTACATAGTAACAGCCACATTGTGCGATTACTAATATCGATAGTCTTAACCCTTCTCAGCAATACAAGGATCTAAGGCATCTCCAAAGGCCTCATGATGGAAAATGCTATC